GCCACCACCGCCCGGCTTGTATTCTTGTTTTTATACTGACTAAGAAAACATGTTTTAGCTGGGAGGTGGTGGCGCACGCCTTTAATCCTAGCACTCAGGAGGCAGAGGCAGGGGGAGCTCTGTAGATTCAAGGCCAGCCTGGTCTACAGAGCTAGTTCTAGGACAGCTAAGGAAACACAAAGAAACTATATCCAAAAAAAAAACTATCCAAAAAAAAAAAAAAAAAGCATGTTTTAGGGGTTGGTGAAATGGCTCATCAGGCCAGGTGGTAGTGGCACATGCCTTTAATCCCAGCACTCGGGAGGCAGAGCCAGGGAGATCTCTGTGAGTTCGAGGCCAGCCTGGACTACAGAGCAAGATCCAGGACAGGCACCAAAACTACACAGAGAAACCCTGTCTCAAAACAACCAAAACAAAAAAGAAAAAGGAAAAAAAAAAAAAAGCTCATCAGTTAGAGGCACTTGCTACCAAGCCCAAACATCCTAGTTTATTCTTGGAACTCACCTGGAGGAAGGTGAGAATGGACTTCTGCAAGTTGTCCGGCCTCTACTCCCCCACTCCACTCCCTTTTAAATAATGGTTTTTAAAAAGAGAAAGCACCAAGGTCTTCTGAAAAAGTTACGAGCTTCCAGGCTTACTGTGCTCCACAGAGAGGTCGGCCTGGAGTTTGCCATATGTGTGTCCTCACAGTGAGAGAAAAGCCCCAAAGGAGACATCCCCACCCCGTGACTAACTCTTCACCTTGGAACACCCCAAAAGTAGGGAGGCAGAGAGAAAAGTGGTTTTCTTGTTTGGTCCACTTCAGGGTTCTTTTTGAGAGAAGATCTTACTGTGTAGCCCAGGCTGGCTTCGAACTTAAGACCCTCCTGCCTTGACCTCCTGAGCATGCCTGACTGAGACGTGTGAGTGGCTTTGGAGGTGACAGTGAAGGGGCCAGAGGAGGTGACTGATGCGTTTCTTGGGATGATAACTTCCTTTTCCACTTCCATATCTCAAAGTTTTCCATTTTTAATTAGTTTTTTTAAATAATAAATGCACGTGGATGTTTAAATGTTTTGAATGATCTAGATAGTTTGCAGAGGAATCCACTGCCCTCTCCCTGTAGGACCACGCCCTTCTCACCTCTGGCTGTGGCCCATTCAGATAGATTATGTGTATCACAAGGAAGAGAGAGACGTATCCACCTGGCACGCTGATCTGCCCCATCCCTTTTGGGGATTTTTCTTTTCCCCTCTACAGTCTGTATTCTCCTGAATAAGTTTACCTCGTCTTATTTTTTCAGACACTTCATGTCTTTCTTTAGGTCTGTGTACGTGATGAGTGTCTTGCTTGCCTGTGCCCCTGGTGCTGACAGATGTCAGGAGAGGGTGGGCAGACCCTCTGGAGCTTTAGTTACGGATGTTTGTAAACTATCGTGTGCTGGGAACTGAACCCGGGTCCTCTACAAGAGCAGCAAGTGCTCCTTGCGACTCAGCCATCTCTGCAGCCCCTCGTCTTGTTTTTAAATGATTCTTCAGTCATCTATTGGATGGCTATGACCAAATTAGAGTATAGAATTAGGGTATTTAGTATTGGGGCATTTCCAGTCTCCCCCACTCCCCATAGTGGAATACTAGGCAAGTTTTTGTTCTTCTTCCTCTCCAAAACAATTCCTTGGAGAAGGGGGAGTCCCTGTCTGCCCAAGTTCTCATACAAGCACTGCTTTTACCTGATGTTTCCTGGTTCCTTTATTTCAAACAAGGAAATAACTATTTGAAGAAGGCACAATAGCCTGAAATGACCTCAACAACTTCTAATTTGGGTGCTGGTGGCAGTCACCCAGCAGAACTCCTTAGGGGGAAAAAGGAGGTGAAGGTATTTAATTCAGACTTAGTCATTTTTTCCCAGGGCTGTGATTTATCAAGCAGACACTGTGAGCAAATCTGCAAAGAGTGCTTGAGAAAGCACCTGGGAGCGACCATGTCCACTCACCAGGTGTCTCTGCAGCAAGGAAGAGCAAGGCTCCTGGAGGAAAGACTAGCTAGCAAAAGCCATATATCTGCAGATATAATTCTGCATATGTAATTCTGCAAAACAGACCCCCCCCAAAAAAAAAGGCCTTCAGGAAAACACTCATAGATCACTTGGCCATTACTTTACTTGGAAACAATATCTCAGAAACCAATACAAAGATGAAAATATGTCCAACTTCAAAGACTAGCTGTCAGCCAAAGAGAAATTAAGATAGCACAATACCATAGCAACCAATCTACCAGAGTGGCTAAAGTGCAAATAATGACAATACTAAGTGTTGACATGGTTCAGGGAAACCTGAACTCTCATACAGTGGTGATGAGGACTGAAACAGTATGACTTTGAAAATCTGGGACCATCACTCAGTGGTAGAGCACTCACCTAACATATATAAGGCTCTTCTTTCTATCTTCAGCATGGAAACAGAACAAAATAAACCAATACAAACCAAAAAGAAACGTTATAACATCAGAAAACCATTTGGCATCATTTGTCCAAATTAAACATAGAGATACCACATGTCCAGCAGCTTCATTCAACAAAATACATGCATATATTCATGAAAAGGCAAGTATTGGATATTCATAGTAGTACTGATTGGGAAAATTAAATATTGCAAGCAAACCAACTGTCCACCAATGGGGGAACTAATATGTAGGTGGAGTTTTCCTGTCCCAACCACCTGCTCCCAAATAACCAACACAGAGGCTTAGTATTGTTTTAAAAATGCTCAGCCAGTAGCTCAGGCTTGTTACTAGCTAACTCTTTCACTTAAATTAACCCATAATTCTTATCTATGTTTAGCCATGTGGCTTGGTACCTTTTCTTAGTACAGCATTCTTATCTTGCTTCTCTGTGTTTGCCTGAAACTCTCTGACTCTGCCCTTCCTCTTCCCAGAATTCTCCTAGTCTGGCTCTCCTGCTCAAGCTCTTCCTGCCCAGTTATTGGCCAATCAGCTTTTTATTAACCAATGAGAATAATGCATATTCATAGTGTACAAAAAAGATTGTCCCTCAGCACTAATACATGATGGAATTTATATGTACAAAGACGTGTACTCTACAGTACTGAAAATGAACAAACCACAACTTAATGTACGAGCCAGAAGAATCTCAACCATGTGAGCAAAGGAAGTGAAAGCAAAGGAGAACCACAACTTCTCTACTCATAAAGCTATTCCAGCTGTTTCTCGGGGCACAGGTGCAGCCCCTGAAATGACTTCCAAGTCTGGGGAACCCGAGGAAGCAGAACAGAATTTATGGCCCTAGATTAGAAGCCAGAGGCACCACTGAGTTATGGAGCGGTCAAGGAGCATCCACAAACCCCACTTGGCCTGCACACTAGGCAAGACTGCCACCAAGGCTCCAGGTTTCAACCATGCAGCTTCTATACTACTCTATCCTGGTGGAAATGTGTTCATGGTAGCCAACAACCTCCTGAAGGTTCTACAGCCAGTTGTTCCCCAGACTGGGCTGAGCTCTTCTGTCTGTATCTAAGATTCAAAAGCACAGGCCAGGAGCAGCCAGAAGATGAAGACCACCCATATGTCCCTCAACAATGAGGTCTGTCTTACCAGGGAATAGTGTTAATATTTTGCCACAAAGGGGTGGAATTCTCAGCCATGCTCCAACATCAGTAAACCTTGAAAACATCATGCTGAGTGAAATGAGCCCCATATGGAAGGGCAGAACTGTATGAATTCTTTAGAGTAAGCAAATTCAAATAGTAGATTAGAAGTTAATATGAAACTGGGCTGGGCTTAGGGGCTGGAGAGAAGGCTCAGTGATTAAAAGCACGGGCTACTCTTCCAGAGGACCCTAGTTCAATTCCCAGCACCCACATAGCAGCTCCCAACTGTCTGTAACTGTTGAAACTTTGTCTCAAAACAACAACAAAAAGAAGTTTATAAGAACGGGATATGCACACTTACTTATAAGCTCATCGTGTGGGAATCTAAGGCAGGAAGATTACAAGTTCAAGGCCAGGCTGGAATAATAGTGAGACTTTATCAAAAAAAAAAAAAAAAACACCGTGGGGGTGGGGGGAGAGGAGAGAAGAATTAAATCATAATTGTTTAGTTTAATATGATGGAAAGACAAAACTACATTTCCTTGTTGAGAGCTCTATTTTATTTTTATTTGTGTGTATATGTATATCCAAACATGTGAGCAGGTGTCCAAGGAGGCCAGAAAAGGGTGTTAGATGCCCTGGAGCTGGAATTCCAGGTGGCTATGAGGCACCCAATATGAATATTGGGAACTCAATTCCGGCCCTCTGTAAGAGCAGCAATGTTCTTAACTACCAAGCATCTCTCCAGCCCCTAAGAGTACATCTCTAAAGTAATGTGTTGCCTAATGTGTGATGTTTTGTTTTGTTTTGATATAGGTAGCCCTGGCTGTTCTGGAACTCACTCTGTAGACCAGACTGGCCTTGAACTCAGAGATGCTCCTGCCTCTGCTTCCCTAGTGCTGGGATCAAAGGCGTGTGCTACTATACCCAACTCACGTGTGATGTTTTAAACATGTACACAGACCTAATACATTGTTTATTGTGGATGTGGAGATTGCACTCAGGGCTATGCTGAGGAAACACTCTACCACTGAGCTGCACACTCCCAACCACCGTCTGGATCACTGGTTCTCAACCTTCCTAATGCTGTGACCCTTTAATACAGTTCCTCTTGTTGTGCTGACCCCCAACCATAACATTATTCTCATTGCTACTTCATAACTGTAATTTTGCTACTGTCATGAATTGTAATGTAAATATCTGTGTTTTCTGGTAATCTAGGGTGACTCTTGCGAAAGGGGCATGACCCACAGGTTGAGAACCACTGATTTAAACTCTTTCTTTCTTTCTTTTTTTTTTTTAGTTTTTTGAGACAGAATTTCTCTATGTAGTTTTGGAGCTGTCCTGGATCTCACTCTGTAGACCAGGCTGGCCTCAAACTCACAGAGATCTGCCTGGCTCTGCCTCCCGAGTGCTGGGATTAAAGGCGTGCGCCACCACTGCCTGGCGATCTAAACTCTTAAGAATACAGTTTGAGGACTAGGAGCACAGCTCAGCAGTGGTAGGGCACTTGCTCAGCATGTGCAAGAATGCAGTGTGAGCACATTTGCATTGTGCCATCATCTGTCTGCAAACGGAAGCTCTGCTCTTTCAACGCCTCCCATTCCCCCTCATCCCACCCCGGCACCTCCCCTTCATCCCATTACCTTTCTCCATGAATGTGATTATTCTGGGCACATCATGTAAGCAGACTCATACAATATTTTTCTTTTGTGACTGGATTATTTCACGTAACAGAATGCTGTAGCATATCTGAGAATCCCCCTCCTTTTCAGTGCTGAATAATATTCCATCATGTGGATATACCACATTTTGTTTATCCATTAATCAATGGACAGATTTGCTCCCACCCTCTGGATATTGCAAGTAGTGCTGCTTCTGAACATTGGTGTACCAGAACCTCTGAACCACAGCTTTCAATTCTCTTGGGTATAAACCCAGAAATGAAATTGCTGGATCATATGGGACTCTGTGTTAAATTTCTGAAGAAACACCGTACTGCTTGCCATACTGGCTGTATCATTTTGCATTCACACTAACAGCTTTCCACCTTCTCCCCAGCGACTGGTATTTGCTTGTCATTTGGACAGTGGTCGTCCCACTGGCCATAACGCTTGAGATCTCTGAGAATAGGAGAACGTCATATATTTAGAACATATGGTACTTCCTGGGATGCATAGGCAACTGTGTGGGATGAAACTCTGGGCCACAGAGTGTGTACATTCTAAACTTACCAATGATCCCCACCACAGGGGCCATTTCTCACTGCCACCTACCACAGGGCCCAGATCCTGTTTCTGTGGACGAACACAATCAAATGCTCTCATGGGTTAACTAACCTTCCTGTTCTCCATGAGTCCGGAAGGTAAGGCAACCTCTGCTTGGTTCTGAGCCATGCCACCCCTCAGCAAAACCCTAACTAAGATGCCTCTGAGATCCTCCTTGCAACACACCTCCCCCCTCCCACCCTGCCATGCGGGTCCCCAAGAGTTTCCTCAACTTTCCCTCAACAGCTGTCCTCAGGTTTGGAGTGGTTTTGGCTCCTGTTCACATAGCTGCACTGTGTCTCAACATGAGTCACCTTTGAGGAATTCATAGAGCAGCTGCAGGCCCCTCCCATAATGCAGTTTGGGTGTCCCCAGAGGGAAGCCCGAGGTGAGGGTTCCTAAGAAGGGGCCGTAGTTCATTGCTAATGATCCGAGACAGGAGTCGGGAGTGGGAAGAGAAGGGTGGACAGAAGACGGAGGGCGTATTATTACCTGGCTATTTACTACTGGGGGTAAAGGGAGATTCATGCCACTGGTCCACCCTGGGAGATGACCGCTTCCAGGTCACCCTATCTATTACCAACCTTGGCAGTCTCCAGTTGAAGGCTGTTCTAGGGGTTGTGTCTGCTTCCCCTGGCTATGGCATGGTCAGAGTCTCTCTTGAAGCTCTGGGAAGTTGGACCAGAATGACAGGCAGGGGAGAAACCTGGACAGCTCTGCCACACCCAGTGTCCCTGTCTTCCAGAGTGAATAAGATCACTACAGAGACTTCTGTCCCAGCAGCTCACCTCTCGTTAGCCTAGGACAGGGGACCTGAGTGCAGGAGTCTCACTGTGTCCTCTCACCTGGTTCTGTCTTTTCCATGCTGGCCCTGACACCACAGGCAGGGCTGGACTCTCAGTATCCCCACTGAAGTGCGGGTGGCTCAGGTTTAGGGCTGGGGACATGACCAGTGTGACTGGTTCACAGATCAGCACGTGATCCAGGCTTGAATTTCAGAACACAGCTGCTGCTCCTGGGGAGGCATGGCTCCCTTTCTGACGGGCCTGTGGGTCTCGCGCTAACTGCTGGTTGCCCTCACATCCTTCTGGGAGGTGTCTTTGTGTGGGGACCCTGCAGAGACATGACCCCGTGACTGGTGTCTCGGAGTCCTGGACGCTCTTTATGAGGTGGCCTCTGACACCCCAGGACAGCAACCTGCCCATTTAGCTTAAGCTAGTTTGAACTGAATCTTTGTTGCAACCAACGGATCCAGGACCAGTCCGCTAAGGCCCCCTGGCAGACAAAGCCACTGAGAGTGAGTGGGGACCCTCTTGCCCCACATTTTTTGGAGGGAGTCGTCAAACTGGGTCTCCTAGTAGGAGAAGCTCAGACAGGATAGTTTTCCCATATTAGGGTGGAGGCAGAAGTGTCCCTGTGCAAGCTGGACAGTGGCTCACCCACAGGCTGAGGAGGCCCTGCCTCTCTGCTTCATGATCTCCTTTCTCTCCTCCCTTTCCGGCCTCTGTCCTGCCCACCAGTAACCCCTCCCTTCTCAGTCCTCCTCCGGGAATCCCACACCTCTACTCCACACCGGGTCCAGCTCAAACAGCCACATCATGAAGGCTGCCAGGGACAAGGTCCTGAACAGAGCATCTCATCCCTTCCCTCATTTACAGCCTCCTACTGAGTGGGTCATGTGGGACCACATGCTCCCTCCTCTTTCTCTACATTGGATTGTCTTCCAAACATGTATCCAGGAGAGTTTTGTACATTGGGACTCCAACATGATTAAAAAAAACAATCTGTCTTTATGTCAGAGATGATGATGCATGCCTTTAATCCCAGCACTCAGTGGGGCAGAGACAGGCAGATCCCTGAGTTCAAGGCCAGCATGGTCTACAGAATAAGTCCCAGGACAGCTGAAGCTACATAGAGAACCCCTACCCCCAAAAAACAAAAACAAAACAACAACAACAAAAAAATAAAATTAAAATTAAAAAGTTGTCTTTGTGAAGCTTATGTTCTGGTATAAAGACCAATAAATATCCATAAGTCAGCCGACCACAGTTGTGCACCTGAGAGTAATGTGCTCTAGCGGGAAGGGCACAAGGAAAGCTCAGGCAGGTTCATACATGCATGCATGCACTTTACATGATGAGGCCAGGGAACACTTGAGGAAAGGCCTGGAGAAGATTAGGGAGCATGGAGGATTGAATGATGTCCCCTGACAAATGGACCCACTTCCTGATGCCCCAGATGTTATTTGGCAAAGGGCTTTGGAAGACCTAGGATCTCAACGGGAAAGTATCCTCAGTTCTGCAAGTTGCCCCAGATCCAAAGACAAGTGTCTCTATGAGCAACACCAGAGTGATGAGATGTCTGGTCTTTATTGGCCTTCCTGGTCTCCTACCAGACATAAAGAGAGTGTGAATGAACAGACTCTGTCTACGTTTGATGGTCGTTAAGGGGAAGAGAAACTTACCCCATTGTTCAGAGAGGGGTGTGTGCTGCCCGATGCAGGTGTGGGTCCCAGGTTGCTATCAGGTTGCCAGGCGCATTGTTCAGGGAAGAGTGTGTACAGTATGTACAGGTGAGGCTTTCAGTCATTAGTATTAGGGAAGGGGTGTGTGTGTACAGCCCAAAGCAACCAAATCTTAGGTTACCAAACTACTCCTTACACTTGCCTGCCTCACAGCGCTGCATGGAAAGCAGAACTTACCAGCAATGAACTTGGATGTTCACTGGAACAGTTCCCAGCACGGTGTTAGCTGTGTGACCTGACTCTCCTCACTGTAAAAGGTAAGATGGAAAAGGTAAACTGAGGAAGAGCCTGATAAGTGAAGGGGAGCCAACCTTGTGGACGGTGGGAAGTCATGTCGTGTCTGTTTTGCAGAGGAGACTCGTGAAGAATCACCTGTTGGGAACCCAGGTACTGGCGAGGCGATGAGCAAGTGGTGAGGGTATGACTCAAATCTACTCAACCATCCTAAGGATGAAAGAGAGATGGCCTTTACCAGGAGCCACCTGGGGCGGAGCCTTTGCTTAATGGCACAGATCTCTGCCACGTATGGAGACCCACAAGGTTTTGAGGTTGTTGTATCAGCAGAAACACCACCCCCTGGGGCAGCAAGGGAGCAAAGACAAGAGAAAACTCAAGAAAGACATTGGATTCCAAACTCAACGGACGGAGCCATCGTTACACCAGGAGGATTAGCCTTGAGCCTTGCAGTATAGCAGCGCTACCCTGTTAGGTCTGGGTTCTAGCTCATAGTTTCTTTTCTTTTCTTTTCTTTTTTAAGATTTATTTTTATTATTATTTTTTTATTTTAGATGAGTGCTCTATCTCCATGTATGCCTTTATGCCAATGTATGCCTTTATGCCAGAGGAGGGCATCAGATCCCACTAGAGATGGTTGTGAGCCACCACATGGTTGCTGGGAACTGAACTCAGGACCTCTGGAAGAGCAGCTGGTACTCTTCATGACTGAGCCGTCTCTCCAGCCCTGATAGTTAACTTTTCTTGTCAATCTGAAGCAACTTCAGGGATGAAGGGCTGGTGCTTGGCTCACAGCTTCGGAGGATCTTAGAACATCATGGCAGGAAAGGCGTGGCAGTGGATCAGAGAGCAGAGAGGAGGGGAGGGGAGGGGGCTGAGAACAAAGGGAATGGGATGGTCGAGCTGGAGCAGAGACCCAGTGGGGGAGCAATGAAAGAGATACTTTGGCCAGGCAGTGGTGGCGCACACCTTTAATCCCAGCACTTGGGAGGCAGAGCCAGGTGAATCTCTGTGAGTTCGAGGCCAGCCTGGTCTACAGAGCGAGATCAGGACAGGCAGCAAAACAACACAGAGAAACCCTGTCTCAAAAACAAACAAACAACAACAACAACAACAACAACAAAACAAACAAACAAACAAAAAAAACCCAGAACAGATGAAGATAGGTTTCTTCTGTATCCCATAATCTAATCAATATTTATATGTATAATTCAGCTATTATTTGGCTTAAAAGGGCTTATTGGGGAATGTTACCATTTTTACTATTTTCTACAGAAAAAATATTTTCCAGTTTCAAATAACCATGGACATTTGAATTATAACCTGTTTTTATGTTCAAGCTATCTATGTATTATTTCTCCTGCAGTTGTACACAAAATGTTTTTACACTTAAGAAGGACAAACACTATAGAATTGTATTACATGAAATATATAGAATGTCCAAATTCATAAAGTCAGAAAGATTAGACTCAAGTTATCTCAAGATGGAGAAGAAAGGAATATAGAGCAATGATTTCCTAAGTACAGAATCTCTGTTTTGTGTGATGGAAAGTCCCACAAACAGATAGTAGTATCAGGACATATCATAAATGTAATAAGTCAATACAATTAATGTTTTTTTTAAAAAAGCTATTTGAGAGATAATTTTTTACTATAAATTTAACAGTTGGAAGTATGTTAGAATATAAATTGTTTATAAAATAAACTAATGGCTTGTTCACTTTTCTTTTAAAAAAAAAAGAGAGAGAGAGATACTTTGGTAGAGAAAGACATCTTGGGGATAAGGAGAAACCTGGTGCTAGGGAAGTTCCCAGGAACCCACAAAGATGACCTCAGCCTTCATCCAGTAAATGATGGAGGCAGATGCAGAGATCCACAGCCAGGCACCAGGCCAAGCTCCAGGAGTCCAGTCAAAGAGAGGGAGAAGGGATTCTGTGAGCAAGGTGGGTCAAGATCATGATGGTGAAATCTACAGAGACAACCAAACAAAGCTAGTGGGAACTCATGAACTTTAGATCAACAGCCATGGAGCCTGCATAGGGCTGGACTAGGTCCTCTGCATAAGCAAGACAGTTGTGTAGTTTGGTCTGTTTAAGGGCCCCCTAGCAGTAGGATCAGGATCTATCCCTGGTGCATGAACTGGCTTTTTGGAGCCCATTACCTATGATGGGACACCTTGCACAGCCTTGATGCAGGGGGAGGGGCTTGGACCTGCCTCGACTGAATGTACCAGGCTTTGCTGACTCCCTTACCTTTTCAGAGGAAAGGATGGGGGAATGGGATGGGGGGGAGATATGGGGGGAGCAGGAGGAAATATGAGAGGGGGATCTGTGGTCAGTATGTAAAATGAATAAAAAATTCTTAATAAAAAAAATCTCAAAATAATAAAAAAAGAAGAAAAGGAAAGTAGAGAGAGCCTGCCAGAACTTTCGAAGGCCCACCCCTGGTGGCCAACTTCTGCCAGACATGGCCCACCTCCTAAAGGCTTCGCAGCCTTCAGAACAGCACCACAGTGCAGGAGGGATGGCCCGTCCCGTCCAAGGCGCTTGGCAGGCAAGCCTGCCTGAGTGTGACTACTGGGACTTCGGTGGAGGAAGAGAACCAACACCCATCAATTATCTCCTAACCTCTATTTCAGCGCTTCTCAGCCTGTGGGTTGTGACTCTTCGGGGATTCGAATGATCCTTTCATGGGGGTCACCTAAGATCATTGGGAAGATATGGATATTTATATTATTATTCATAACAGTAGCAAAATTACAGTTATGAAACAGCAATGAAAATAATTTTATGGTTGAGGAAATATAATAAAGGGTGCAGCATTAGGAAGGTTGAGAACAAACTGCATGCTGCGGCACATATCCCCACCCTCAAAATAAGTCAGTAAATATCATTTTTAAAATTACAATATAGGTCTCAACTGTTAAAAGTGCTTACTGGCTTAGCAGAGGTTCTGAGTTTGGTTCCCAGCATCCATGTCCAGCGGCTTACAATCACATTTAACTCTAGCTCCAGGAGATACAGCACCCTCCTCTGGCCTCTACAGGCAACTACACTCATGTACACACACACACACACACACACACACACACACACACACACACACACACACACCATAAATAAAATTGAACAATTTTTTTTTTTCGAGACAGGGTTTCTCTGTGTAGCTTTTCACCTTTCCTGGAACTCACTGTGTAGCCCAGGCTGGCCTCAAACTCACAGAGGTC